CTCCCTAGGGGAGGCAAGCGCTACTCGTGGCTCAGTTCTATGGCTGGGCAGAATCAACATTGATACACATTGTGCCCCGAGCCCCCATCCCATCCAGCAGGCCACCACTGCCTAGTCATGCAAGCCTCAAACCCCAAACAACAGCATTTAATTAAGACACAAAATAGCATCACTCACAGGAGTACACGGAAACAGCCTCTTGGTGCAGGGGCAGACAAAGGGCAGACGCGGCCAGGTGGTCCCCCATCTCCTCTCAGCATGATCTCGGGCCAGGGTGGAGAGCTGGCTCTTACAGGCCCACAGGATGTCTTGGCCACCGCTCCCTCCATCCACACGCAGGCAATCTCCTCCTCCCATCCATCCTCCCCACTCTAACCCAGCCCACAATTTGCGTCTTTATCTCGGCTCTCTCCCGTGGGGCTCCCTTGGAAGGCTGCCTCCGGTGAATTTCTCTCTACTCAGCAACACCCCAGGATGGCCCGATGCTGAACCTGGTCCCTCTCCAAGCCCTCTGGCTTGCTGTCTGGGCCAATCATCCCACATCCCCCAGCTCCCTTGCTTGCGAGCTCCAGGCCCTGCCTCTGAGGCTCTGATGGAGCATTTCCATGGAGGGGAGGCCATCCCTGCCCAGGTCACCTAGCAGAGCAGAGGCCCCAGCCTCCGAAAGCCCCGGAGACGAGGGAAGCTGCATGGCTCAGGAGGTTTGTACAAGGATGCCATTCTGAGAAGGGAAGAAAACAGACTCTTGTGATTTTTGTCTGCTTGTAGAAACAGACACCAAGTATTCTCCCCCCATTTTGGAGAAGGGGAAACAGAGGTGCCCAGAGAATGGTAAGCGCCTCAGCCAAGGTCGCACAGCCAGCCAGCGGCAGGACCAAGATTTGAACCCAGGACAACCGATTCCAAAGCCAGAGTTCTTTCCATGGCCCCATTAAAGTCAGCAGCTCTTAGAACCGAGCTCTGACTTTGTTCAGTCATCTTCAGTCATGTCCGACCCTTCGTGACCCCATTGAGGGTTCTCTTGACAGAGACACTGGAGGGGTTTGCCATTCCTTCTTCAGTACAATTTACAGATGAGGAAACTGAGGCCAACAGGGGGAAGAGACATGCCCAGGGTCACACAGCAGTAAGTGTCTGAGGCTGGATTTGAACTCGGATCTTTCAGCCCCCCGGCCCAGCACCTAGCTGCAGACCAGTCAGCGAGTTCTGGCCAACTGGCTGGTGTATAAGCAGCCACTCCCCATGATTCCTCAGAGCCTCCTGCAGAGCAGTGCACAGAGAAGCTCAAAGCTGGACGCTGGCTAGGGGCTCCCTGGCTGTTGGTCATCCCCCCAGGCTGTTCTCTCTCCCCATCTCCGTGCCTAGCACTGTGCTGGGCTAAGGAGCTAAATATGCCAGCCCCCCCCACGCTCGTGCGCACACACACACACACACACACACACACCCTCCCGTGCACAACAAGCCAGGGGGCAGGTCGTGAGAGGACTAGCGCCGTGTAGCCCATTGTACAGAGGCGGATGCCAAGGCCCAGAGGGGATTTAGCTCACGGTCAGACCAGCTCATCACTACAACTGATCACTTTATGGATTAACGGAGCCCATAAAAATCAATCATCGCCAACGCCCAGGCTGCCCCACTCCACCGCAGCAGGCCAGGCCGAGCCTTCCTGAGGTCCCCAGCCCTGCAGGAAAACATCAGAAACGTGAGCCATCCCTCATCATCCCTCCTGAAGCCATGCAAGGTGACACACTTGGGAGGACCAGAGGATCACAGAAGGAGCCTTGGAGGGTCACTGAGTTCAACCTTCTCTCCATTTTTCAGACAGGGAAACTGAGGCACAGAAGGGTTACGTGACTTGCCCAGGGTCATATGGTGTCTGAGGCTGGACTTGAACCCAGGTCCTCCCAGACTCAAGGCCAAAGTCCTAGCCACTGCTCCACACTGTCTCACTCTAACTCTGAATGAAGTTTCACGGGAGTCACTCTTCTGGCAGAAGCCCTGGGCACTAGGCTGAAAACAGCTCGATGAGGCTTCCAGGGCCAAAAATGCGCACCCCCCCACAACACACACAGAAACACCAGCCACGCATTTCCCATGCCACTTCTCTTAGGGGCAAGCACCGAGCCCAGGACCCTGAATGTTTTTAAAGCATCAAAGACACGACCTGGGCCTGATTTCACACGTGCCTTTGAAAGGGCCCACAGACCCCTTCCCAAGCTCCCCTCTGGGGCCACTCAAGGCTGCTGTCCAGCTCAGTCCCAGGAAGGAATTGATGGAAAGTAAGGAATGGGGCCCAGGAATTCCTGCCGCTTCCCTTGCAGCTGCCTGGGGGAGGGGAGGGGGAGAAAGGACGCCCAGCCGACGCACATTTGGTTTCCATTTCCCACCGAACAAGCTCTCTTTTGTGTGCCCAACGCAGACCCGCAGCCCACCGAACACTTGGCTGGCTCTGCCTTCTTAACTCTTTAGGGACCAGCCCCTGCCTCCCCCCAGGCCACCCAGTCTCCATTCTGGCTAGTAACAGAGACTGGATTTGAACCCAGGTCCTCCCGACTCCAGGGCTGGTACTTGATCCACCAAAGCCCCAAGCTGCCCCTTGCAGACGAACTTCTAACAAATACAGCATGGCTACGTCCAGCCCAAAGTGCGTCACTAATGTTCAGAAGGGAGATTCTAGGGCTCCCTGGAGGCTGGTTTCTACACCCCAAAGGGTCACTGAGGCAAAGGAGGGGAAGACTACAAAAGCTCGGCCTTTTCTGTCCCCTCGCCTGGACGGGCGGAGGAGTCACTGAACCTCCCCAGGACTGTGGCCTGGGAAGAAGCCTTGGAGTTTCCCAAGCCCAATCTGCCCATTTCCTAGAGGAAAAGCGAGGCCCATGAAGGGGAGTGGGACTTTGTCCAAGAGCCTATAGCAGACGACTGGCAGAGCGGGTTCTATGATCCAGGCCAACGTGGAGGTGGCCACCGCCTGCCGCCATCCCTAGTCCAGCCACTGCTGAAGGCTTTCCTGCCCAAGCTGGCACCGATGCTCACCGCTCCCACAGCCGCGGTCCAAGGAGGACGTGCCCCTCTACTGACCAGCCCCGAGGCTCACAACGTCCTTGCTGACTGTGGCTCCTCCCTCCGAAGTTGGCAGAAAGCCATTGATAAGAGCGGTTCAAGGGCTGCATCAGCGAGGAGGGCCCCCCTCACTCTTCAGGGATGCCGGAGGGAGCAGTCTCTGATCGAGCGCGGATTGGGCTAAATGTCCACTAAAGTCCCTCCCCGGCCAGCTGTTAAGAGTGTGACCGACTTCTCCCTCCTTCCTGTCCACACGCCTCTGAAGGGTGGCAGAGACAGTGGAGGCCACACTGACCCCGTTTTCCTGGGTCTTTCCGAAGGTGCCCCACCCGCACCCACTCAGCTGCCCTCGGGATCCCTGCCTGCTTATGTTAGTATAACACCCGTTTCACTAGCTTCTCTCGCAGAAGCAGCAGAGCCTGCTGCTGTGTCTTTAAGGGCCAAGTGGAATGTTACAGAGGTGGTAGTTTTAACTCAAACTTCTTAGCTTTTAGCTTAAAGATGATGGAGGGATATGATTTCCTAATGAAGCTACGTCAATCTCGATCTTGCAAAACAGATTCTTGAAAAAGTTTTTATTTGGTATTTTGGGCGAACTGAAAGATGAGATCGTTTGCAGTGATGGCTGGAGGCAACGCGGCCTTAATCTTATATTTGTAGCTAAAACGATGGAAATAGTTTACATACTTGTGTTACGATTGATTGCACCGTCCATAAATTGTATAGCCAGTAACTTTAGTGTCAAATTAATCACCGGAGATTAGAGGTTTTGCTGTATAGATAGATATGCTTTCTCCTGCTTATGGGAAAAGGTTTTTCCTAGTTTATTAAAAAATACATAATAAACTGGGGCGGGGACTCTGAATTAGTTGGTTAATTAATAAAAGAGACATCGTGACTGTCGTTATTCATGAGGACCATCCAAAGACGGCCCTGGATTGCCCTGGACCTCCGATTAGCACGGTAACGTGTCAATGAGTAGGCTGAGGGGCGTCCCACAAGGAGGCTGGCCAACCTCATAACCTTGCTATGGGAGAAGCTAAAATCCAGGCCAGCAGAGGCTCTCGAGGAGCTACAAGTATGAGGCGGAGGGAAGGAAAAGGCCTCCGCCATCTGGCTGGCTTTCTTCTCCCAACACATTTGCCCTTGCCCGACATTCAGAAAGATGGTCACCCGTCAAGCTCTGTGGTCCCCACACAAGGCCTGTGGCGGCTTTCCATCCTGAAGACCACCGCCAGCCCTCTCAGCTGGAAATGGCCAAGGAGGCGGCAAAGCCCCCTCCCACTAACCCGCGCCTCTCCCTGTCTTTGGGACTCAGTCATTGTTTCTGTAAAATAGGCCTGGCCTCGGGCATGCCCACCTGCCACTCTACAATCACCCTGCCCACTTCTTACGTGGACTTTTAGTACAGAAGCATCGAAGAAAGGAAGAGGGCCCACGCAAGTAGCTCCCAGCTCCTGCCCTCAGAGACCTAACTCTGGATTCCAGAACCAGGTATGAAAGACCGGGCCTTCCTGGGGGTATCATCCACACACCTGGGTGGTAGGGAAATATCCCTGCACAGCCAAGAACCAGGGTCGGAGCGCCAGACCGAGGCCTGCAATTGGGAGAAGCAGTGTGAAGGCACAGACAAGAGAGCTGGCCTTGCGGCCGAGAGGACCCGGGTTCAAGTCTCCCCACACACAATGGCTACGTCACCCTGGGCATGGGATTCACCCTCCCGGCTCCCACAGAGACGCTAAGAGGAGAAGTTAGAGGTGCTGCGCTGGTGGAGGGAGATGGACGAGAGGCCAGGGAGAGGCCCAAAGCAGAGAGAGCCCTTGGTTGGCACTTTCTACCTTCCAGTAGCAGGTGATGAGGTCAAAGAGAAGCGTGCCACCCCAGCCAGGGAAGCCAGCGGCAGAGCCCCATTCGGGAGACCGAGGGCTGTCGATTCTTACCAGAACTGGACACACGCCTGGCTCTCTGGGGAGAGAGAGCGCGCTCGGCATGGAAAGTCCTGGATTCGGTGCTTCGCCTCCGACAGGAAACGGACGGCCAGACTTTCATCTTGGGAACAGGGATTTTACTGAGTCCCAGGGGGTCGTGCTTAGACCCGCTTCTGCCGGCCACCGGTGGTGATTTCGGCGTGGAAGCCTGTGGGAAAACAGAGAACGTTTAACTCCCATAACTGAGCCAACTCTCTTGTTTCCTAGCTGCGGGTACTTGAGAGATAAACAGACAATTAAACAGCACTTTGTTTAATAGAATGATTTTTTTAAAGGAAAAACCTAAAAGTAAAAATTTGGCTGGAAGCAGGAGTCAGAGGATCTGGATTCATGCCCTGTCCCTAATTACCTCTGAACCCCTGGAGAAGTCACTGTGCCCCTGAGCCTCAGTTTCTCCCCACTGAGAAGCCCAACGGTCAGGACAAGGTGACACCGAAGGCCCCTTCCCCTCTCAGTCCTAGACAACTGCAGGGACCACCTGCTCTGAAGGGCAAAGCTGCCCGGCAGACCGCAGTCCCACCTGGGAGCCTCTGGGAGAAAGACTGGAGGGGGGGTCTGGAGGCCCCGGCCTGGGGAAGAGCCTCCCCTAGCAGTGACCAGACCAGACCCCCAAGGGCCGGGATGAGCACCAACGAGTCAAGGGCGTGGCTGCAGGCGCTGGCCCAGAGGCGACCTTGTCTTCAAAGGGGGGCCCGCTTAACCCTTAATATTCTACAGGACAGCCAGGACCCTAGCACAAATGGTAATTTGTGTTTGGGTCTCAAAACACAGGATCCAGCCACAGCCTCCTCCTGCCACTAACAGGGCACCCCATTTGAGTGAATAGTCCAAACGCCCAGCTCTGCATTCGTCGTAATGTCCAACATAAACACCTCTAGACTTTGAGTACTAAGCTTGGAGTCAAGAAGACCAGGTTTCTGCAGTGGGTAGAGTACCAGCCCTGAAGTCAGGAGGACCCGAGTTCAAATCCGGCCTCAAGCCAAACACTTGACACTTACTAGCTGTGTGACCCTGGGCAAGTCACTTAACCCCAATTGCCTTAAAAAAGAAAAGAAAAAAGAAATCCCGGTTTCAAATCCTGCCCCAGAGATTTACTAGCTATGGGAAACAGGCCAAGTCACTTAATTGCTCTGTGACTCAGTTTCCTCATCTGTACAATGAAGGAGCCGGACTCCATACAAAGGCTGAGCACTCCTCAAGAAGGCTCAGGTCAGCCCTGATGCCCTGGGTCCCCAACTCGGGCCTAACCCAGGGCCGGCCTCTATGTATCCACCAACACTGACCCAGGGTAGGATGGGAATGCAGCGAGAGAAAGGGGTTGGCCCGCACTGCCCAGCCTCAAGCTGAGCAAGCAGATGTCAGCTACAGCCTCCCAAGATGACCTAGTCTCAACCTCAACTCACGCTTGAAAACGTGGACGAGAAGGGTGGGCCTTGTCTCAGGCCGTGGAATAAACTTCCTGCTGCAAACGCTGGCTGAGGAGGGATGCGGAGGAGAATCAGTACTCCAAGGAGGAGTTCTTCTCCCTTGGTATTTAGGGGCACAACAGTCCAAGCTTCTTCAGATGGACACCAAATGACGGAGTTCCCTCTCTCTGCCGTAAATCTGCTTACACACAAGCTCAGGCTACGACCCCCGAGCCACAAAGCCTCCCGTCCTACCCAGGGAAGAATCCCTCAGGTTCAAGGCCTTCCGGAGCTGGGCCAGCCTCTCCTTCAGACTCTAGAATGGCCCACGAGGGCTCAGCTGGACAGCCAACCAAGGCCCAAGGGCATTTTAGAAAGCTGAAGTCCAACAGGTCCGAAGCTAACAAATGAGCTTTAACCACCTGGATCCCTGAAGGGTCCCCAAGTGACTCTTCCAGCACCTCCTCGTCACCAGGACCCAGAAGGATGTGCGTCTAATGATTCCTCAGAAGGCATTTCTAACCATCCTCGGTCATGGAGTGCACACAGCTGGTCGGCACAAAGAAGCCGACTTTCCTCGATGTTTCAAGGCTTCAACGTGTCATGAGGAGGGGACGGCAGCCTCCACCTCCTCTGAGGCAGCCCCAGAAGCTGCAGCTGAGCGCTCCTCCCTGTCACGTTCTGGTGACAAAGCACTCTCAGCTTAGGCAGGCTGACCCTCCGTCCCAGAATTGCGGGATCTCATTTAAGGGGACCTCAGAGACTGGGTTCCAACCCTTAACTCAACAGGACCCAATAAACAAATGGCCATGTGGGCTCTGCCTGAACACCTCTGAGGAAGGGGGACCCATCAGATCTCCCAGCAGCCCCTTCCACGCTGGGACACCTGGACCTGCCTCTCTGCACCTTCCCATACCCCCAGTGACTCTTGTTCTACCCTCTGGAACCAAGCAGAACAAAGTTAATTCCTCTTCCTTGGGATAGCTCTTCCCATACTTAAAAAGATAGCAGCCCATCCTCCCATCTCCCTTCAACTGATTCTCATTATAGCCTAGCGTTGAAACCCCTCACCGTACTGAACAGAGTCTGACCGGGTCAGAGGTCAGCGAGTGGTCCCAATACCTCTTTAGGTGGGTACCCTATGGCACTCTTAACGACCACATCCTTGTCCTTGCCCCTTTGCCGGCTGCTTTATGTCGCCGACTCCACAGTCCCCACAGATGCCCCATGTGCTGCCCTCTGGCCAGGCCTCCCTCACCCTGGAACCGATTTTTTTAAATGCAAACTCAGGATTTTATATTTATCTCTGTCAAATGTCATCTTATTAGATTTAATCCATCATCCTAAGCAGCCGACATCTTTTGGGATCTTACTTCCTGCATCCAACATGCTAATAATGCCTCCCAACTTTGTGCTATTGGCAAATCTGATCAGCAAAGCCATCTATGCCTTTGTTTGAATCATTGATCAAAATGTGAAGCATCGCAAGGCTGACAGGCCTGGGGCACTCCAGCATAAAACCGACATCCACCCACCAGCGACCAGTCGGTGGGTGTGCTCACTGGATGAGCTCCAATGCACCCAAATGCTCCATTATCTCAGATGGCCATTCTGCTGCTGGCCCCCACCTGAAGCCCCTCCCTCTGGCATGGTAGAACCTGGGGTCTAGCCCTCCACCTCCCTGAGCTTCTCCAAAGTTTTCCCTTTCAAGTAACCATATGACTAACTCAAATCTCCACACTCAGAGGATGCATCATTACAACAGGTCAGTGCTTAGAAGGGTCATCGTTCTGGCAAGTGGAAAAGGTCTTTTAAACTTAAAAAAAGGAATAAGAAGGGAGGTGTCTGTATGAAGCAAAGGTAAGCAGGGAGGGTGATCCAGGCAGGGGAAACAGCCAAGGCAAAGGCCTGGAGAGTGGAGATGGGAAAGTTGTGGGTACAAATTAGAGAGAAGGCCAGTCTGGAGAGTCTATAGAGGGAAGGAAGGCGAGTAACGCATGAGGCTTGGATGATAAATCGAGGCCCAGTTGTGAAGGGCCTTGGGAAAAAGAACAACAACACAGTCTATTCTTGATCCCAGAAGCAGTCAGGCAGTCATTGCGCATGTATTAAGCACTTACTGTATCTGTTAATCACTGGACTGATCCCTGGGGAGACACAGAAAGACGAAAGACAGTCCTGCCTCAAGGAGCTCACGGTCTGACGGAGCAGACAACAACGAGGCCAGAGAAGCTACAGACCAGAGAAATAGGGGACAATTAAGAGAGGGAGGCCCTGGGATCCGGAGGGCTTGGGGAAGGCTTCCTGTAGAAGGTGGGATTTGAGATGGGGCTGGAAGGAAGCC